TGTAAGGCTGAAGGCCAACCGGACGACGCCGAGACACTTGAGAGTTTGTGGTTTCGTTTCAAAAATCCCATTAAAAACAACAAACAAGCTTACTATAACAAATTAACGCTTTAAAATTTATGTGGAATCTTTCAACAACGCACTAAACTAAACTCGCTCAAGTAGAATCATCGAGGATCCTCTGTGGATCTTGAAATTTTGAAGCTTTTCCATCAATTTCATGAGCATGTAAAAGTAGCAATTATGTTCCTCATATCCAGAAATTCTATTATTTTAGTGAAGTCGTGGTGATATCAGGCAATTTTATTACTTTCATAGCACACTGTACGCCTAGCTGCGAGCCATGTTTCGATGTACTGGAGAAATTAAATAACGCGTTGCTCAAAGGACTAGTGAAAATGCTATATAGGCGAATATGTTGCACTCTAGCTGTGAGTTAGTCAAGGAGATTTCTGCACTCAACACTTCTCTTCATTCTCTTGTTCACTTTTATGCCTTCTCTTCCGTATTTTCCTTTCTTTTCTGCGATTCATTCGAAAAAAAAAACTGGTGTTACGTCAGTAGTAGGTGACGCCGTCAGCTCTAGAATCTTAGAATTTAAGGCTTTAAAATGGCTTACGAGACGTCAATAAATGGTGAAGATGTCAGCATAACTATAGAGTTCACTGATATCTTATTATGTTGATTTATTTGCATGGGGTTGTTAGCAATTCGTTACTGTAAGTAACGTCTAGATGCCATCATCTTCTTCAGAACCACAACGATTCTCCAGAATTCACTTTCGTAAAGCCGACTTGCGCTCTCCAAATTATTCCTATTGATGGGTAATTGCTGATTGCACCGTTGGAGTAAAAAAAAATTGACTGCCAGAAAGGCAAAGCAAAAGCCACAGTAGTGCAGTGGGTAACACGTGAGACTCCGGAAAGGTCAACTACGGATCCGAATCTGACTGGAGTTCAAGTTTTTCAAATATATCAGCATCACTAATGCTGTATCTTATACAATACCCTGTCGTGAAGAAATAATGGCAAGTAAATAGAAATTTAAGCGTTTTGAGCTCACTTTCCTTTGACATTTCATGCCACTCACTCCGAGTTGGTGTGACGCAAAGATTAACTACTGCGGTACATTCGACTGAAGGATACGAAGGTGCCACAATGCCGGCCAGAACAAGAGTTCTACTACAGGGTTTATAAGTCGTGTCTTTTGGAATTTGACAAAAACTTCCGTTAACTTACGAATGCAACGAAGTGCTGGCATTTCATGCCGCGCTTGGATTAGAGTCGATTCTGAAGAATAACTTTCATTAACTGCTAACAACGTACAGTTTCTCTTCCCTCAAGGGTCAGAATTCCCCGAAAGTTGTAGTGGATAGGATTTTTTTATAAGTTTCACTTTGTTTTCTATACGAATCGCTTTATTGAAATAGCTTACTCCTCCAATCAATGTACCCCCATTGTTCGACATTTTCATATCAAAACGACTTTCGCGTTGTCAATGAAACTGGCGAGGACGCACGCTAATAGGTAGTGGGGAACATTAACCATTCCAACGTTGCTAACTTTTCATTTGTTTCCTACTATTATTTTTCATGGAAGGGCATGATGCGAAATACAAACACAATGATGTCGAGATAGATATATATTAGATATATTTGAAAGTAAAAAGTTAGCATTGTAATTTCAACTATAGCCTCAGCTTAACTGGGTTCAATGCCGATGTGGGCTTCCCAGATCAATCCCGTTGACGGGTAATTTGCTGATGGCGCTGATCAATAGAACTAGCTGATAGATGGGCGAAACGAAGGACCCGCATGGTGTGGTGGTGAACGCGTTATTGCCCCGGAAATGACAATAGCGCGTTCGCTCCCCACCTTAGACATCTGTGGTCCAGAGTTTTGCAAATATCTCAGCAAAATTGTGGTTATTCCTATTGATAAATTACTTCTTCTAAACTCTACAATCCGTAGAATCTCATTGGATAAAATAACCCTAACTCTCCCTGTACATCGTCGACAGACCTTTCCGATGAAGATCATTTTTTGGCCGATCTGGTGGAAAGGATGAAACAAGACCGTAACCTCTGTTAGTTATTTCCTTGTATGTACATTTGAATAGCTAAAAGACGTTGCACATTAACGAGGTTTTCTCTTCTATGCGCTCTTTTGAACGATGATGTGCATTACTCGACTTGCAACCTCGTTTTTTATCCTTCTGTCCACTGACAAATCTGCTAGATCGTTGTTGGGGCAGTGTGAAAACAAAATAAAGCTAATGTTTAGTTTGCCTAACAATTTGGTGTGAAAAAACTCAGAGTTTACCTAATGTCAAAGTTTTTTTACATGACTCATCATCACATCTGTTGAACGGATCTCAGCACTTTTCGCATTCGATTCACTTCCTCACATTCACCGTCCACAATGGTCTTTGAACATTTAGCGTATTGTTTCAGCTACTGCTTGAGGATTTTGTCTTCGTCAGGAATGTCGTAGAATGCTAGTCGAGTCATTTTTTCATGCAATCTTGGAGATAGCCGTGCTAAGGCATTCTCGTGTGGATTGTAGGAGAGCGTTGGGGCTCGAATCGAACTACGTACGGCTTTTGCTTCCTGGTCTACTACATCACTAAGCACTGCGCTGTTCCCTCCCATTGCTAACTAATTGTCGAAAAATTTAAAATCAATGTAAAAATTCGATGACATTCATCCAAAATGATATGATGTTGAGGAGGAAGGAATTTATTCTCAGATTGAATAATCAGCAAAGGCTGGCGAGTAAACGCCATAACGATCACCTTCGGTGGTTTTACTTTTTATGGATGGACACTCTGCCTTCCAAATTATCACCTATTCCCATATTTATTACCGTTTCTAGCTTGAACTAATATTGCCAGTCTAGTTCCCAGGATCGACTTTCTATTAACCTCGGCATTGGAATATGAATGCGTCGTTTTCTTGTTCAGCAGTCGCGAGGTTTTGCCAGTCTAGTTTTTTATTCACTAAGAACCATTTTTTAACATAAAGTATGAAATTACGCTTCAGTTCACTTTGTACTAAGGCAAAACTACAAACAGATAGGGCTTTCAACTGGACAGTGTCTAGTGGCATTCTGTTTCTAGGACTAATTTAGATTTCGCCCCGTTTTCAACCGGTCACGTCTAGAAGGATTTCTAGTGAAGATAATTTCGAACAAGTTTACCCATACATAGATGTGCACGGTTTGCCTTATAACTCAACCGTTGACTAAACTAACCCTCTTAACTAACACAAGACGTAAAAAATATAGAAGCACCCGTTGGAAGTTCACAAAATGATAACTGGCTTACAGCTGGCGCTTCAAAAATTGCTTCGAATTCGTCAAAGGTACTCAGTGAGCTTTCAAATGATTTCGCTATACTACACCTACTCCTTAATTCAAAACATTCTTATACGACTATGACGAATGTCATAATAAAATCCACCTTCCTAATTTCATTGAAGTGTTCCGACGATTATAGTTTGAGTAATCGATTTTCGTTGTAATATAACTATGATCTGCTTTAATTCTCAGCGCTCACTCTTGTTCTCATCTCCTCAGCACAGATAACACAATTTTGAATGCTCAAAATTTTACTTACTGCTCATTATTTTCTCGCAGCAGGGTATTATGTGAAATACAACCATAATGATGCTGAGTTATTTGCAAAACTGAAGGGCAAAACAAAGCAAGAATGTCAGTGGTGCAGTGTGTTACTTGTGAGCCCTCGGAAAGTGTAATCGCGGATTCCAATCTGGCCTGGGGTCAAGGTTTTGCAAGCACCTCAGCATCATTGCGGTTGTATTTTGTAATTTTGAATTTTTCAAACAGTGCTAGTTTCAATGCAAATATTTTCAGCGACATCGGCGACCATTGTCATCCTTACTGACTTGTATCTCTCATCGCCGTGGCGAAGCCTCCATAATCCAACTCGCACCGTACGATCGTTAACGATTTTCTTAGCCAAACACAATGATGATATTATGAGCGGTTTCCTCGTGTTTATGTTCGAGTTTGAATCCATCTAAAAAATTACCACAATTTGTTTGTCTTCCATTCTTGACATTCTTCCCTCATACATTCTGAATGTTTTCTTTGTTTTATTACTTAGTAGTCTGAATGCTATACAAATTTTTTCCCTGGAATCAATAGAAAGCCGTTGTATGGCTTTCTGAGGAAGAGGTCAGTGTTCGTAGACCATGAAAGAAACGTTTGTTACTTTGCGTCTCGAACAAGCTGTATCCATAACATGAATACAAGGGGAAAGTTTGGTTAACAGCAAGACATCAACATGTAAAAAACCATCAACGTTAGTTCTTTGGTTGACAAACAAACTACACATCATTCGTTGTTGATCTATCCATAAAGATTGCACCATGTATAAACGCCATGCCTGTTCCATTAAACGTCTGGCCTGTACAGTAACCAGTGGTGGCTTGGCGATGTATCCAATCTGTGCTCTTATCCTTCCAGACAAGTCTGGTAGCAATATGCCGACCTTGGAAAGATGGAGGACTTGGTAAGCCTGGGATGCGGAATCGAACCAAAAACCGCCTTTGTATAATGGGGTACGTCTAGCCATTGCGCCCCATCCGTGATATGACAAAGGAGTACATCCATCTGTGGCATTCAACCATTTATTTCAGTTTGGCAAGAAAGCTAACAGAAATTAATTGATCCGTGTTTTCTTCTTCAGCAAACACGAGGTTCTCAATAACTATTCAATACTTCCTGACGCTTCGGGATCCACGTAAGATTTTGTGCGACTGGTCTCCATCAAATAACTAAAAGACTTAAAAATAACAAAATGGCTGTGAAGAAAGCGACTTCGCTAAAACACTTTGTTAGGAGAAAATCATACGAACATTAATACCTCGTCGCCGATTACTATAGACTGCTAGAAGTAATATTTAGAATTGCCGCAGAACTTTCAGACGTGCTGTGGACGAACAGTGAGCAAATCATGAGATGCGCGATGATGAATGTGATGTTGCTGATCATCTGGAGTGGAGACGCCGTTATCGACACAGATTACAATTCCTTTGAAGACGAGCATACATCGATGATGAAGATTTCACATTCGTCGGAACGTCGGTATAAGACGAATCGCTATAGGTATGAAGAAATAATGGGCTATTTCGTCCTTCCAGTAATGAAACCTTATCCTGACTCTTCATATTCCTCTCTGTAACAAAAAGGAATATCCAGTAGAGTTGTTAGCCATAAAGTTAGCAGCTGAAGGTCGCATATAATTTCGCATAAGTAACCTTATCACACTGGAACTAGTTACTTACAGTCAGCATTATTTATGCAAACAATAATAGTTTTTTCCACTTAGGAAGTTGAAATATTTAGATCTTTTCTGCCTGAAGTAGGTTTGAATTATAATGGTGGAGTTTGTCTAATGTCTTTAGAAAACATGGAAAATTTGCTTTTTTGGTCACGATATACGGTAACAATGTAGGTAATAAATATTCACTAGCTAATGTATTCTGTAAAATTCATAACGAAAAAATACACCGGGCCTCTCTATCAGCTTTCTATTATGCGAGCGGTCACCTCAGAATCACAGAGTAACTGATTCTCGAAGCTCGTTGTGGAATAAACTAATAGATTTCAGAAACTGCACAAGGGATACAGATATTATTGATCAGTTGCTAAACGGAACTGGTTACAATAAATTTCGTATACCAGGTACGTGGGAAGGATATCCATTTTACTCTAAAGAAAAAGAGTAGGAAGCATGCCCACGATGTTTAGTATTAAGCTTTGTCTTCATTTCATATTCTTATATTTTCCTGCTACTTTTTTTTCCGAGTTTAACCACTTTTTCTCCATAACTTTTCCCTGCTTCATGTCAACTACATAAATCTTCAATCACTCTACGATTCCTGCTTTCCTTGTGTAAGGTCACTCGGACACTTTAGTGGATAGGGCAGTGTTTGTTTGGGTACTTTAACAGTTCTTGGGGTCAGCACAACTCGTGAAGATGGACCGTCCAAGTAAGTATCCAAGTATTTCAACGGTTCAGTCTAGTCATAGTGATCCACGTCGTTACATTTTATTTCTATAGAATAGAAAAAAATTTAGAGCGTTGCCTACTCAGAAAAGCTTCCAGAGAAAGTTTCTTAGATTGACATACACCGAATTGCGTGGAGAATTCGAGCTGGACTACTAAAATAGCTAGTAGTTCTATTCCCAACTATATCGATTTGTAAACGAGTTGTAATGCCTATTTATCGACAAAATCCAAAGACCGTTATTATCAATGAAGATTCTGTAAGGATTTTGTAATGAGAACTTTGCAGGTGTTACAGTCAGCTGCCTTACTCCATTAAATCCAGCAGATGTTAAATGATATCATGTAGGAAATAGGGAGGAAGTAGGAAGAGCATTAACGAATCCAGGTTTTTCAGTCGTTCGTATGTCGGAAACCGTGAAATGTCAAAGTGCACCGATTTCTTCTGCGCTTCCAACTGAACAGTGTTTCATTATTAGAGCATTTGGATAATTTTAATACTTCATAGTAATTGAATACAAGTAGGAAAACCTGGCTTTCCTTGGTTTTAATTATTTGGAAGGCGGAAAAAAAACTTAAAAAGTAGAGAGACATTTGACCTTACAGAAGACGATGGGATGACAGTCTACGTGGAGATTTGGATCCAAGCAATCACATCGATTAATGAACTCACCAATGACTTTGAAATGGACATCTATATCACTGAAAAATGGCTGGATCCAGCATTAAACTTTGAGAATTTGTCACCATGTAAAGGTAACATTATAGAAAATAAGTAGTATGGTGAAACGCTTCACACGCCAATCAACTACTTGCAGTTATTCTGCAAGGATAGCGAACCCAAGGGCAAAATGTTACGAGCGAGTTTCACAATAGAAAAGATGAGAACAGTTTGAAAAGAAAATGTTGCAACGCAGGGTTTTGCAGCTCATTGCTTAGGCGCTGCCGTGCTGTCGATCGTAGTGGGTTCGAATCGTCGCTCCTAGGCAGTCAAGCTTATCCTTCTGGTATCGGTGACTTGGTACTAGACTTGACTAAGAAAGTGCTTGCTTGATACATCAGTAGGCTCTATCTAGTTACTCTATAGGTAAATTTTCCTTCAATTACCTCTATGGTGCTCAATAAAGTCAAATGCATGGCGCATCCCGAAAAGGTCAATTAACGACTAAGGCTTTATCTTTGGTGTATGGTTGGGGAAAATCTCACTATATATGTTCCTGAAAGCAGAGATCTAGAAATAGCCAGTGGGAAGACTTCGTTATATGTACTCATGTTGAAGCTACGATCAGAAGTGACAATGTCATTACTGAAGATGGATTCACGAGATGGACTCCTAGTTCCAAAATTACATCAGCCATAAAGTGCGTTCGTACATGCATACGTGTGTACGTCAGCTTGCTTGAATATGAGTTGAATCTCCTGTGCCTCGTTTCAATGAAGGCCGGCAAACATTCAATGGAGGAAATGGGATGGGAAAGGAAAAACTGTCAGCTGTCGAAGTTGCGCCTTATTCACTCAGACATTCCACAGACAAAGAAAAAACTAGCTGAGATAAAGGCGAAGCAAAGACCTCGGTTGGTGTAGTGGATAACTCGTGAGCCTCCCTCAGTGAGGTTCCGAATTTTGCACAAATCTCAGCATTCTTGTGGATGTGGTTCAGATAATGCCCTGTCATGAAATAAGAATAGGTGGCAAATAAAAGTTAAACACTTTGCACATATAATTTTGGAACTAACCGTCATTTAACCTTGGTACTATAATAATCAACATGTGTTTATATTGTTGAGCTTCAACGAGGTAGATAGAGATGTTTATTCGGCTAACGTTTCCACGTCTTCGTCTTCATCAGAGCCGACGATCTTTGTTGATGGCCCGCAGTTGCTTTCCTTTTCGATGAAGTTCTCTAGACGTCGAAATGTTAGCGGAATGAACATGTCTATCAACCTCATGTAAGCTCAACAATATAAAGACATGTTGATTATTATAGTACCAAGGTTAAATGACGGTCGGTTTCAAAATTAGTGTTTCGCTACTCTGTGCTAGCTAGCAAAATACCGACTGCTGCAAGGTGAATAATCACCTCAATAATATAAACACACTGCGCATACGTCATCACAAAAATACATATGAGCATGGGTGTACCTGCATGTGCACGGATTGTACCACACATTTGATTTGCTCAAAATCTATCGTTAAGTGACCGGAGATATATATATGGGAAGAGATTCTGGATTTCCTCCAACAAACATGCCCCATGTTCACTCCCATTACGCTTGACGGCCTATTCGTGGCTACGTCAAGCTTCTCGGTGTACTAGCAATAAAGTATTCACTCCTCAAAAATAGTAGAATGGTGAATCAATATATGACCTCCACTGACAAGTTTAAAAAGCGGAGTTAAAAGAGGCATAATGACCGTTCCTTCCCTACGGTTTATCTCCTCATCGTGGCTGAGAGGTGGTGCTGAATGTCGGACTGCGACGTACAGCGGGGTGATTCATCCACCTAGCAGGGTCTCCCAAGATGAGGAGCCCAGCATTTCCATCAGGAAGCCCAGTTAAGAGTAAACCAATCACAGGATCCACCACCGTCCTGGTATCAAACAAGGTCGCATGTTGGCAAATCTCCCTCTAATCCACAAAGACAACGACTGCCTGTGGCGGCGACCTGGGGCAAACCTTGGCTAGACTAACCTCGGGACTCCAGGAGACCACAATAGCTAAACCATCGAAAAAATGCAAATTTCGTTGGAGCTCGCACGACCAGTGAGGACAGGGTGTCCAATTATCCAAATAAATACAATGGCCGTTCAACCTCTTTTGTTCAACTTCACTAAGATTTTGACCCCAGTAAGCATCCTAGAAACTCCAGTAAGCATCCCAAAAGTGATTTAGTGCATGTCTGATCTGTGAAACAAGTTGTGAGAGCATATCGATCTATCAAGTCAGTATTTTTATCCTTCCCGACATGTCTGGCACCGAATCACCGACTTCATACCACTAGGTGGTTTGCATTGCTCGGACAAAAATAGAACCGATGACCACGAGTTTATTGCAGAACAGCTCTGACCACTGTGCTATAAGCGCCCTCATCCTGTTCATAAAGGATAAAAGTGTAAATCTCTCGACGTTGATCAATCCCTGAGGGATGCACCACGCATTCAACTTCATTAAGCATGGTTGGAGGTGATTGAATGCATATCCGGCCCTCTACAATTACTCGCGGTTGCCTACTAATGTGTCAGGCCAGTGCTGCCATCTTCCCAGACAAGTCTGGTAGCAATATGTCGACCTCGGAGAAGGCTTAGTGAACCCGGGGCGCGGAGTTCGACCCTGTGTGCATTGCAGGGCGCCTCGGACCACTGCGCTACACGCGCCCATTCTATTCATAATACAAGTAATTTTGTCCTCAATACCTTTAGTTGCATCAGAATTTGACCTTCTTAGTTCTTAATGTGCACAATTTCTAGGCAATCTTTCGCTGAACCACCAGGTTTTGGATCGTTTATGGACTCCAAATAGTTGCTTTGTAAATAGTAAAATTGCACAGATACATGATTCACCATTCAGGTGCAAGAACTCTTAGCCTTCGTTCATGAGATCATCATTCCAATGAAACGATTTCAGAAGTGTTTTTCTAATGTTGTTTCCCAATGGCACTGTAATGGTCAACTACCGAGTACGGGTGAAGGGACCATGCTCACTGGAACTCAGCAATTTTCCTCTAGATCTTCAAACATGTGGATTAATCTATGAAAGGTTGAACATCCGTCTCGAATTCCGCTTAGTCCTGTTTTAGCTAAAGGCTGACAATGTTTGCTGCAACCTGAACAGCCCAAAAGAACATACTAATGAAAATAGAAGTGTCTTTCGATCCAAAGGACTCTACATTATGTTTCAGTTTTAACTACAATAATCAAGAGGTTCGAATGCGTTGGTCTAATATCGATGAGCCTGTTAGACCAATGGCTCCAATTGTTTTACCAGATTTCGACCTCTTCAAAATAACGGCGAATCGTAAAGAAGAGGTTCGTTTTCATTCAATAGTTTTCTCTCATTCCATGATTATACTTGCGTTAACACAGCACACTTGTGGACAAGCATTCAGCTCATACCAGCGCTTTCAGCCATATCCAGCCGGCATGTGGGACGAGCTGCATGTGATGATTATGTTCGAACGACGGTTCATTTGGTTTTTTATGCAGGCATATTTACCGACGTATCTTACAATTTTTATCAGGTGGCTCAACTATTTCGAGTCATGTAGACACCGAATTTCCTTTACCACACCACGACCACTCTTTCACCTTATTTGTCACTCACATGGTCCGTTCTGCCTTCCAGCAACCACCGTACCCTTAAAAACGAAAGCGATATTACTTAGGCATTAGCAACACCTTTTGCATTATATATCGGTACAATAATCGAGGAATCACAGAGGGATTTATGTATTTGTGTTTGTGCAGCAGATAGATCTTAGTACTCTCCTCATCAAGAGATGCTCTCACCAGGAGATATATCTTAATATCCTCTTCATAATTTGGAGTCTTTACAGAGCAACTATTAAACTCATCAGAAGAATTCACATGGAAGCGTAGAGCGTGCTGAACAGAAGTAGAAAGATATATTCAATCGTCAGAAGAATATTTTTACAAACTAGTAACTGTAGAATATAGGTTTTCATTAGGAGTAGAGTAAGCATGGTATTCAAAACCGTGTAAAGATAAATATCTGCAAAGTAAACAGCATGAAGGTTATTTCTGCATTTTTTGGATTAAATCAGTAGCTTGCTGATGGTATTGATCAATAGAACTAGCTGAGAGACAGGCGAAACGAAGGACCCGCATGGTGTGGTGGTGAGCGCGTTAGCCCCCGGAAAGGGTAATAGCGCGTTCGTTTCCCACCGCATTCATCTGCGATTCGGAGTTTTGCAAATATCTCAGCATCACTGTGGTTGTATCACATATAATACCTGACCGTAATGAAAAGGTATTAGGCAGTAAATAAAAAGTTAACATTGTAAATCAATAGTTGCTTTATAAAATACGTCGCTTCGGTCGACTGTTCCAGAAAAAGCTATCCGTTAATTCTTTCATATGAGCCATATCTGACTCATACGGTCACGAATCTATTAAATGATTCACTTTCTTAGCACGTTTACCATGCATTTCTGGTTTATCGTAAACAATTAGTCGAAATTCACCTCCATGAATGATTTGTTTCAATTAATGTTGGGTCCGCACAGTTTAAATATTGACGGCCTATTAAAAAATTCCAAGAATTCATCCTCTATTAATATCGGCTGCACGATTTAATTAGTATCTTAGTATTCATGATGAACGCAGATTAAGTTCTAGATAGTCATTTTAAAAGTTCTATTAAATACATCTGTTAACATCGTATTGTCAGGAACTACCAAATCTCCCCAACCATACTCACACTATCGTGAACGAAACACTTATTTTCAAGAATAAAATAAATAAGTGTCAGATCGTCTCATTCATATGCCGCGTGGAACTCGGAATTCCCGCCGTTCGATTCATTCTTTTGCGTCCACGTCGACAATGGTTGAGTTGGTGTGCGGTAAAATGAGGCTTGAAAATTTGTGCTCTTTTTCTTGATCGCGGGTTTAGTGCGGGTCGAATGTGATTTCCCAAGGAATCTCAGTACGATGGAACCTACCATATATCTTCACCACAGGGCAGCCACCGGTCAATCAGGTGTTTGCTGCCTTGCGAAAGGAACTCTTTTGGGCGGTATAGATAGCTATTACTATGCTAGTAATCATTCCTGCATTTAGTCGGCCGAACAATAAAGAACGATGTAATGAATAGTGGTCACTCTAAATGACAGATGCATTCCTTGGGGTCCGTGCCATTTGTCTTCCCGTCGATCTGTCCTCATATTCGCAAAAGTTCCAATTGTATTTACTCCAGATCGGTTCTTTCTCGAACTACTTTCAACAGTTCTGTCTTCTTGCACCGTTTATGCTGCAGCCATGGCTTATTGTAACTCGTTCACATGGACCTTGATTTTCATTTTTTTAATAGTTTCAGTCCCAGTTAGGCTTCTGAAATGTTGAACTTTTCTTTGCTTGTATAACCGTGTCACAGTATTCATTCAGTATTATTCATAGCACCGAAGAGTCTATTGAGCTAAGATCAAACAAAAGTGCTAGGACACTTTGATCAACCTAGCTCCATCCCTCCTCTTTGGATAAATTAACACTACATCTGTTTGGAAAAAGGTGTCTCTAATCTAAAAAATTCGACAACTGTCTGCGGTGATAATCAAGGAACCGTTTAGTGTTAATCCTAGAATCCTAGAATGAAATGCCATTCAACGACATTCAGGAATATGAGATCTTCAAGTACCAGCTGAACCCGTGTTCAAAGTCAGAAGGCTTTCGTGAATAATGTATGAAGGGGAACAAATAGAGTGTAGGAAGTGAAACGATCCGGCAACAGTGTCTAATGTAGGGTACTACACATGAGTGAATAAGTGAACAATAAATTATCACCACATACCGTTCTCCGTAAAACATGCAATAATGCCATTAACGTGTAGGCTAACATTTTGCTAACTTGAAGGATGAAGAATTCCAGCTGGGTGTCGTTCGCCTTGGGACCACGAGCGATTCCTGCACGAACTATGCTCGGTGTCAATGCTCTGCTAGCTATGATTTTTCAATTCGGCAACATCATGCGAAATCTTCCACGGGTTTCCTACATCAAAGCAATAGGTAATGTCGTTCTTTTCGTTTCTATTCCTCATATAAACGAACATCCTCAACTAAAATCTGCGTTCATAAGTCATTCACAGATTGATGACTTTATTATGTTAATTGAAATACAGCCTAATAGTAACAGTACCGTAGAAGTTTATTTTAGATGTTTGGATGCTTGTATCGATGACGTTCATATTCTGCACCTTACTTGAGTTAGCTATAGTTGGCTACAAAGTCCGAGATGAAAGCAAAGTGATCGGTAGAGGAAATGCCAAAAAAACAAAAGTAAGCTTCAATAGCTTTTACTCGACATTTGATTTTTCTAAGGGAACTATCAAAAGCTCTGGATTTTTATGTTTTATGCTAGCTACTAATAGCGTCATTTCCCTTAAAAATTTCATTGTTTCTATTCATTCAGGCATTATCGGAAGGCTCTCCGCGAGGGAATTCGTTGTACGAAAAACGTTTCATGTTTCCACCTGGGTGTAGTCCGACTCGAGCTGTTACGAAGGTCCGTTCCAATACCCTTCACTATTTTACACCTTTAACACTTTTCTCGTGTTTTAAGACAGGGCTTGAAAAAATTCCAAGGTTTAGTACCATAAACAATGATAACAATAACTCCGAAATTCCTGATTGCAGTCCCACACATCATGGCCGCCAGAAAAGATCGACTCGATATCAAGCGTCATGTTCCCGCTCAGTTTTTTTGTGTTCAATGTGAGTAGAAAACTTCAAAATAGTATAAATACTAAGGCGATCTGTAGTACAGTAATTAGAAGTACTCTGCTATCCACAACTGATCTTGGTTCGGCTCGCAGTGTGAGCAAAGCAATCTCCCCATTCCCCTGGGGTCAGTAAACTTGTAGCAGACCTAACTCGGAACATGGAAAACATTGACTTAATACATCGGTATGCCACCGCATGTCGTATTTCTAGAAAACTAATTAACGCCGATAGTTCCATAAAACTCCTTTTATAATACAAATTGTTAGTGAGGCGTAAACGATGAATTTTTAGATCGTATACTGGTCCTACTATCTGCAACGGAAACAAGAAATCTCGGATATTCTGCAAAAGTTATAGCAAGTACATTGCTTCCCTAGGATTAAATATGTCAAATAAACAATTGAAATTACTAGTCTACTTACCTTATTTACTACTATCTAGTCAGAAATGTAAGCTGATGATGTCATATAAGAGGATTTTTCTCTAGCAACATAAATCATCTGTATCACCTGTAGTTCCGTTGATCGTTGAGTGACTCGAACAGGGGCCACTAAATCTTCCATTTTTCTCTGTCGCGTGCAAGAGTAGCCCCATAGGCTCTGCTCGCCCTAGGAAACTCGTTGAGCATCATATCTTTCTTCTACGCTTTTCGTAAAGAACTCTGACCATCGAGTCAGTAGTCCTCCTGCAGTGCGTTTAACATCTCGAGGAATCCAGTCACTAACCGCGTTTTTCCATGGGCCGTCGTTCATACGTATTATGTGTTCGGCCCACCTTACCTTCGACTGTTTGGCGTACAGAACGGCATATTGATTTTTGATCGTTGATGCAGGTCGGAGCTTCGAATCCTTTCCCTTATTTGCGCGACACGGGATACTCCTAGCATCGTCCCTTAGACTGCACGTTGAATAATTTTGAGCACTTTTTCATCCTGTTTAGGCAGCGACCAAGTTTCTGACACATACGTTAGGGCAGGAAGTACCGTTGTGTCGAAAAGGTGGCCACGGAGTCGAGTCGAGTGTTCTTTGTTCTCTTCACTACATCCTCGATGCTTTTGAAAGCTCCCTAAGCCGCTCGTTCCCTTCTGCTCAACTCTGGAGCTGAGTTGTTTATCATATTGACTTCCCGACCTAGACAGACATTACTGGAGCGTTCGGAGATACTCGCTCCATCGAGCGTGAATGGCGCATACGAAAGCAATTCATTGTTCATAAACATCGTTTTTGTGAGATTTACTCGAAGACCAATCATTCTACAGGCTTTATCAAAACCGGCACGCATACCTTCCGCTTGGCTAATATTTGGTGTATCGGGACGATGTCATCAGCAAAGCGAAGATGGTGCAACTGCCGACCATCGATTTCCACTCCATATTATCCCATTCCAATGTTCGCATGACTTTCTTGAAGGTGGCGGTATAATTTTGGCGAGATGGTATCGCCTTGCCTAACACCTCTTTTGACGTTAATGTTAATATCGTTGTAAAATGGTGATACCTTGGTTGTGAAATTTTTGTACAGCTCGCGAAGAATCTTTATGTACTGAGTAGGGACTCTTTGACTACCAAGGACTTCCAAGACTGCTTCTATGTCAACTGAATCAAAGTCCATCCGTAAATCGATGAAAGCGAGACAGAGCGGTCTTTTGCATACTCGCGATATATCAATGAGCCTTGTTACCGTGTGGATGTGCTCCGTCGTGCTAAATCATTTTCGAAACACTGCTTGCTCGCATGACTGTCTTTCGTCCACTGTTCTGTCAATCCTTTTTAGAATGACTCGAGTGAAAAGTTTGCAGACGACAGACAGCCAGCAGATTGGGCGATAGTTGCCGACATCGTGGTCTCCCTTCTTGAACAATTACATGGTCATGCTGGTCTTCCACTGATTAGGGACCTTGCGTTCAGACAGGTAACGTGTGAAAAGCCGTGCCAGTCTGTTTACCAGGACTGACGGAATTTTCTTCAGGTGTTATGATCTTATCCTGCCCGGACCTGGTCCTGTTCGATTTTTCACCGACGGAATGGCATGTCGGATTTCGGAAGGGAGAACCGGTGGTACAACATATCCATCCTCCTTTATTTCATACGACGAAAGGTGGACGTAGCTATCGAAGAAATCCGAGTAGCATTTGTGAATGATTTTCTCAATTAGCTTTCTGGGCGCTGTAACTGTTCCGTCTGGGCATCGGAGTGCAATCATCTTGATCTTAGTTGTAATTGGCGAAGCTTCGGTGGGCTTTGTGAATGCTTTTCCCAGCCTCTGCAGCTCCGACCATTACTGCTGCTCTTCTCTAAGATCTTCTTCTATCGCCTGTCTGCATTGTTTTGCAAGTTCGGACATTAGTTCGCGGTTGCCTGCAGCACGTGCGGTCCCAAACTGGCGTATCAGCTCGAGAGTTTCTGGACACAGACGACTCTTGGTGACTTTCGAACTCTCAGTTGTCATAGCACTAACGTGAAAATGTTAAACGACGCGATCGTATTCTTCGTCGATGTTATCGACAACGGCATATTCCGAACAGCCGACTAATGAATTGAATAAGTTCTAGTTTGCGGTGGCTCTGGGACTTCGGTTTTTGAATTTAGCGGCTTTTTCTCCATTGCGCAAGAAATAGAATCTTGGACGAAGGACGTGATGGTCTGATCCTGTGTAGAATTTTGGGACAACGACATCGATTAGGCAAAACCATCGGTTTACTATGATGTGGTCTATTTCGTTATGGTACTCTCCACTAGGAAACTTCCACGACCAACATTGAGGGTAGAGCTTCCGGAACTGCGAGTTACCATGGATGGCCTTGGTCCTCATGATAAACTCAGAGAGCCGCTCACTCTGTTCGTTCCATTCTAATCCGTGGGTCCCAATATGATGTTCTTCATACGTTCTTCTTGGTCCAATCTTAGCGTTAAAATCTCCACCGATGACCTTGAAGAATGTGTGGTCTTCTCTATAGGACTTCTCCAAGTTCATATAGAACGCTTCGATTTCTTCTTCGTCACGGTTCGATGTCGCCGCATAAAGGACGAAGATTGTCTAAGCCGGAATTGACCCAATTGATTCGTCTTTTTAATCGTAAACGTCCGATTTGGGTTGTAGGTTGTTTGAATGAATCGGTGTTCATGGACAAACTCGTGTTGACGAGAACGCCGGCCCCGCCGACTACTCTACTGTCGCACGGTCCAGGGAACAGTTCTTCTCCGGTGTCATAGGCAGCGTTGAATGGGTGGCATCGTCTCGTCTCGGCCAGGCCGATGATGTCGTACCTTGTTCTTCTCGCTTGCATAATCAAATTTTCTATCGAGGACTCGGATGCAAGGGTACGTACGTTGTAGGTACAGATCGTCACCCTAGTTCCTCGTGATCCAAGCAGCTTCCATTGACCCTGAGATTTTAGCAGCGCTTCCGAATTGGGGGCTCTTTCAGGGTCAAGGGAATGAGGCCCATTTCTTTTACTGTGTTTAGCGTTTTGATACCCACATATGGCGCTCGGCTCTGAACGCGGGGGATGGGTATACTCACAGGTAGTTGCCAGTCTCTCCCAGAGTGAACATGGAGCTTATTTGTTGGATGCGACTCCTTGCCGCCTCCCATATATTTCCCTGTCTCTTGATTGCAGGCTTTCTGCCGAATTGACTCGTAAAATACAATTGCATAAACTTAAACGCACCCACACACTCATGCATGAATACGCCTCGTAAATACAGAAAGTATGTCCCAAATCGGCGCCGCAGAAACAGAGGATCCATCCCCTGGGTCCATCTGCGTCTCAGGGAAATATGCAGTCGCTTTTGATCCGCGATTAACTCTCTGTCCGCCACCTGGGGAGGCGCCACGTAGCGTCGTGATTAACCGGCTCAAGATCCTTCATATGAAGGACCTCCGTGGTAATACAAATACCTTAATATATGTACTAGCTTCTAGCAAATGAAAAGCTATTTATCGCAATAATAAGAAGAAATGTGAAGACAAATCACCAATCGATTGACACCAATTGCACGGCCACATTTGCCATGACTTTCCGCCGATACACAGAGATCGCACTACTTTTAAACACTTTGGATGAAGTAGAAGAAACTGCACACAATGAAGTGGAAAGGCATTGACATTGGCTAATCTTAATGGCAGTTCTTCAACGTTGAAAGGTAGGTCCCTCTAGTATGGAACACCTGACGCGGTCTTATCTGTTGTATTTTAAATTAAAAATAGACCAAGCGTTATCTTCGGAAAGTATGGACCTAGGAGATGAATGACATCTGGCAGTTGCTTCATCCAGTTGTTTAACCAGCTGTTACACACCTATACGCATGAAGATTCAGTAGAAAAGAATTAGCTGCTCATATCTTAGATCGATGTTAACTATGCCTGCTTGCATAGTATCCATTCATTACAAAAAATTGCTGTGTCCTCCTCTAACATAAGGATCTCGATGTCGACTTTTCTATACCTAAAGTACTTAAATAGGAGGGGGATAGCGCCGTAGTAGTGATGCCGTTCACAGCGAGCACGGTGCTGGTTCGATCTCGCTACGGGCTCACTAGGCCTCTCATCCACCCGGGGTCGAGAAGTTCGTAGCGGACTTGTCTGGAAAAAGTTAAAACTTTCTACTTTCCATATGGGAACGATCTAGCCCAGCTATCTCAGGATTCCATTGACAATCGACTCGACCAACACTCTACCACATTCTCGGTGAAAGGGAAATGTTTAACCAGCAGCTGAAGCCTCACGCAAAAGTTGAAGATCTTCGTGGATAACAGATGCGAGGAAACGAATCAAATGCGAGAATTGCTGGGATAAGCACAGCAGGTGTGAAAGGCGGGTGGAATAGAAGTGAAAAAAAACTACTTAAATAGTTGAGGACGTGACGAAATTCAAAAGCGGCTTAAAACTCTAATATCTACGAGAAAATAAAGAAGTAAAGTGAAGATGTAGTTTAAATTTTTAATGCAAACATAGCAGCCACAAAAATCAGTGATATATCTGATGAAATGGTGCT